ATATCTATAAATCATAAAGATATTTCAATTGTAGCAGTGAAAGTATATAATATTAACATAGTATCAATTTATATCAGTCATCCATCTGCACCAATTTTTGGTGAAATAAATAATTTATTCTCTACCCTTCCTAGACCCTTCTTAGTTTTAGGAGATTTTAATTGTCACCATAGAGCATGGGGAAGTTCTATTATTAATAGTTATGGAGTAAATTTATTAGATATTATTGAGTCACATAATTTATGTTACTTGAACACAGGATCACCTACAAGACTCACTGATCCTAGACTTAATAAGAGTGCAGTAGATTTATCAATATGCACACCAAATTTGGCTTCTTCTTTATCTTGGCATACTTTATCTTCTACATTAGGAAGTGATCATTTCCCTATTATTATTACATTTCCCTTTAATAAACCTAGCATTTCCCAGAAAAAGTCTACTAGAAGATATAAATTACCTGATAAAAGTTCTAAAGATTGGATTACTTATAAATCTAATGTAGAATGCAAGCTTAAGCACCTCCCTGTTATAATACATGGAAATGAAAACATTTGCGCTGAAGCATTATCAAATATTTTAAATGAAGCTGCCAGAGAGGTGTTTCCTGTCAAAGAAAATAATTGCACAAAAATACCATCCCCTCCTTGGTGGGATAAAGATTGCACTGAAGCGGTTAAGAAGAGAAAAGAGGCTGAAAGAATTTACAATAATAATATGTCTGAAGCTAACTATGAATACTTGTCTAAAACGATTGCTGAAACAAAAAGATTATTTAAAAAGAAAAAATTCGACAGTTGGAAAAGTTTCTGTAGTTCTATTTCTCCTAACACACATCCTACTCTTGTTTGGCAAAACATAAAAAGATTTAAATCTTCATATAATATATCTTCTGGAATTACTATTCCCACCGAAATAACTATTGATTTCATGGACAAATTGGCCCCTTCATGGGTTCCCATACTCAACACTGCACAACCTTCGCAGTCGTCTTATAATCAATCTGGTTTAAATAGCCTCTTTTCTCTTCGTGAACTGAAAAGTGCAATATATCATGTTAAAGATTCTGCTCCGGGGGAAGATGGAATCCCATATTCATTCTTTGCTAATGTAAGTGACAATATCCTCTTTTATTATCTACAACTTATCAACACTATCATGTTAACAGGAAACATACCTCTGTCATGGAAGTCACAAGTAGTGTTGCCCATCCTCAAACCAAATAAACCACCATCTGAGGCCAGCTCATATCGACCGATAGTTTTATCTTCTGTGCTAATAAAATTAGCTGAAATTTTAATTAAAAACCGTTTGGAATGGTTTGTAGAAAGTCAAGGTATACTATCGAGAACGCAATATGGATTTAGAAAAGGGAAAAGTACAATGGATAATATAAGTATTTTCACAACTGACATACGTATAGGTTTTACAAACAACGAATCTATAGTGGCTGCTTTTTTGGACATCAATTCTGCTTATGATAATGTGTTAGTGTCAGTATTAAAAAATAAATTAGAATCGCTAAACATCCCGTCAATGTTAACTAATTTTATTATGAACATATTAGAAGAACGTAATTTGATTGTTAGTTTGTCTAGTTATTCAGAAATAAAAAGGACTGTATGGAAAGGGTTACCCCAAGGGTCAGTCCTTAGCCCTTTGCTATACAATATCTATACACATGATTTGGATTCTTGCTTCGATAATCATATAAAGCTTTTACAATATGCGGATGATTTGTTATTATATTCAACAAACCGATCAGTTGAGATAGCTGCGTCACATATTGAGTTGGCCTTGATTTCATTACACTCCTGGATGCTTACCAATGGCTTAGATTTATCTGCATCCAAAAGTACAATCGTAGTTTTTTCAAGAATGAGGAATCCCCCTTTAATTAGAGTTCATTATAATAACTTGCCTATACCAGTTGAATCACAAGCTAAGTTTTTAGGTGTGATATTAGATTCCAAGCTCTCCGGTCGCTCCCATATAGATTACATTATCAAGAAAACTGAACGACTATTGAATCTTCTTCGATGTCTCTCCGGTGTCTGGTGGGGGGCTCACCCTCAATCGCTCAAGTTGGTTTATAACGCGCTAATTCGAAGTGTATTGGATTATGGTACTTTCCTTTTAGAACCTGCCAGCTTAATTTCGTTAAAAAAATTAGACGGTATTCAATCAAAAGCACTTAGAATTATAACTGGTGCTATGAGCTCAAGCCCAATCAATGCTTTACAAATCGAAACTTGTGAACCCCCACTCAGTATTAGACGACAATTTCTTGCAGATCGATTTTTGTTCCGATCTCTTCAATTCTCCGACCATCCTCTTTTCCACCTACTTAACTCTCTGAACAATGAAATAACTACAGCTAGCTATTGGTCTCATAAACAACTGCCTTGTTTAATAGTAAGCTATCAAAAATACTTGAGCCTCCATTCACCTATACATCGGTCAAACCGTCTTCCAGTGTTTAATATAGATTATGACGCCTTGCTAATTTCACCATCTGTAAGGTACGATCTGATAGATAAACATAACGCTAAAACCTTTAAATCAATTATAGATTCCGAATACGAAAATTACCATCATATATACAGTGATGCTTCTAAGTCTTCCTCTTCTGAATGTACGGGCATAGGAGTCTACCACTCTCAGTTTTCCATTGTGCAGAAAAGTAAACTTCCTCCGGAGACATCTGTATTTACGGGGGAATGCCTTGGCTTACTAAAAGCTGTCGAGTATGTCGTTCTCATGAAACTAAATAAATCAATAATATTTTCTGATTCAAGGAGTGCTTTACAAGCTATTGATAATTTTCCATTCCGTACAAGATTATATAACCCACTTGTGTTTGATATAAGAAATAATCTTTATAAATGTGTTAAAAAAGGGTATCTGGTAGAATTTGTGTGGCTTCCAAGTCACGTGGGAATTCAAGGTAATGAGAAGTCTGATCAATTAGCAAAAGAGGCAGTACATTGTGGAGACATGTTTCCTTTTAAAAATTATACCCATGACTTGCTGTTGCTGCCGTTGTGTCATTTGCATAAGGAGTGGCAAACTTATTGGACAAATAGTGGACAAGTAAAGGGAAAACATTATTATCAAATACAACCTAAAACTATGATGAAACCGTGGTTCCGTAAAATTAAGATCAGTAAGACTGCTACTAGTATTTTAATACGCTCGAGAATTGGTCATGTTAGTACACCAGCACATCTTACTAAGCTGGGAATTGTTAGTGATGCTTCCTGTAGGTGTGGGTCAGACTACTGTGATCTTAACCATATATTGTTTTCTTGTACACTATACGATCGATCCGAATTCCTTAAAGATCTCATATCCTTACGTGTTTCCTTTCCCACATCCATAGTTTCTTTGCTCTCGTCTAATAACATATCAGTATATCAATGCATAGCGTCTTTTATAATATCAAATAATATTAAAGTCTAAATATCGTTATTACTTTTTATGTATGTTATATAACGTATATATTCTATATATATTAATATTTTCGTTTCCTGATCCTATTGCTAAAAACCTGTCGCAAATCCTATCCTTTTTCCTACCATCGTTTCCCTACCTTTGACACTGGCAAATACACAAACCGTGTGACGCCAAAAGAAAAAAAAAAAAAAAAAAAAAAAAAAAAAAAAAAAATTGAAAAAAAAAAAAAAAAATAGTCTATGGACAAATAGGTGTGTTGCCAGCAGAGAGTAAAGTATTCAAATATATTATACCTATAAAGTATACTTTGTGATTCAATGGTATTCTGTGGTTGCAAATGTTATAGTGACTAGCAGGGCTTGAAACCGGTTCAGAATAAACCGTTTTTATTTAGGTAAAACCTGTTCTATTATAATGTTCCGTTCCGGATCGGAACTAAATGCGGAGTGAAATTCGGATAGAATAAAAACCGGTTAATTCGCTTGGTTCGTAAAAAGCAATGTTCTTACACTTTTGATGCGAATTATATCATTTTTAAGCGACGACATTTATCATACCTATGTACGGATGTTATAGATAGGAGTGTAGGCACTTAAAAACCGCGCTGAAGTTTGTGAGATCATTGTCTGGAGTCATATTTAAACCGGTTAGTGAACCGGTTTAAAAACCGGTTCGAAGGAGCTGAACCTTTTATGTAACGTTTCGCATGTACTTACGTCGAACCGGTTAAAAAAATAAACCGGTTTCCAAGCCCTGGTGACTAGTTCCCTAATAAAGGTGGTTAAATTAGCGCTTAACGTGTTAATTTAACGCGCTAATCGTACGTAGCGCTTAACGCTGTTAAGTATGTACACGTTAAGGCGTTAAAAATTTAGCATGTTAACACGCAACGATCATTAGCGCCCGAAGCCGAGCGGGTAGTATTCGCGTGGGCGCGAACGCTAATGGACGCACGAACGATTTATTCTCTCAGTACGTTTATTAACATTGCGCGCGAAGCTGATCTTGGATAAACGTGAAGATGCGAATGTTAATGGACGCGTTAACGATTTATTCTCGTAGCATGTTAAATATGATCGTGTTTAGGTTAAAGGGCGATTATGAAAGTAAAATAAAAAATATGTTGTTAAAAAAAATGTAGTTTTCATTTTTTGATATGATGAGTAATGATAATTGTGGATTTATAATAAAAATGATAATTTTAATGAATATAAGTACAAGTTTTCGTGAAGACACGTAAAATTGTGTTTAATTTAGATAACAATTGACATATTTCATTTATTTTTATTTTATATATATGAGAATAAAATATTTCAAAGATCGATATGTAATAAATAAAGTGCTACGAGATTTAATGTACTGGTTGATTTAATGCGTTTGTCGCAAACCCTTTTTATTACGTACTTAGCGACTTATATTTAAATTAACGTATTCATTAAAATGCTAATTTTTTTTAACATTTACTCTTCGCGTGTTAATGTATTTTAGTCGTTTTGAACAACTCTATTCCCTAATAAATACTTTTACTGTGCTTTTACTCTTTGGTGACTTGTGTGTGTTGTTGTTGCCTATAGCTCAAAAATTGAGGTTTCTTATTAAATTCAGATAAAATTTGCTTGTTTACAAATTTATTATTATTACTTACTTTTAATTTTTAAATGGTGAAGTGATTAAATCGGCAGCTAATGTGATTATCTTAATTTAATTTACGAGTAAATGAAAGAGTTACTTAGGAATTTCTGAGTAGGTTGATAAATTAGTATTCAATTTGTGTTCTTTACGTATACAACACAACAGACACTACCTGACCAAAGGTTCGTTGTTTTTATCTTTTATTATACATCCTTATCGACGATTGTTGTCATATTATTACCTTAAAGCGATATGTACTTACATGAAAATCAATGGAAAGTGCTTTGATGCAACGTTTTAATTTTCAAGTGTTAAAATAAAGAGAAACTACTATCAATTTCCCTATTTTATCTAATAAAATAGATTTCGTATTTCAGGTCATAGTATCATTAAAAATGTTTTCTAAGAAAAAAAAGAAGCCACTTATTTCACCACCAAGTAATTTCGAGCATCGAGTTCATACAGGATTTGATAAAAGAGAAGGAAAGTTTGTGGGTTTACCATTGCAATGGGCATCTCTTGTTGGCAATAATCAGGTAAGGCTAGAATTTTATACCAAATAACATTTTGGATGTTATTGCATGACCAGCTTTCAAGTATTCAACTGCAGTCTAACAAATATTTTTACTAATGGTATAAAGCTATGAGAAAAAAGTATAAAGCTATGAGAAAAATTAATACAAATTGTAATAAAATTAGGAGGGGTTTAAGGCAATTTTGATGTTTCAGATATTAAAGTCAACTAACAGACCTTTGCCTTTAGTTGATCCATCAGAAATAACACCTACAGAAATATTAGACTTAAAAACTGTTGTAAGAGGTGACCATAAAGTAACCACTGTATCTTCAATTAGTCGACCTGTATCAGCAAATGTGCCCAGAATACCAGTTCAGAATGGTGTTATATTGCCAAAGACATCAAACGTTGCAAGGTCTAATTCACTAAGAAGTTCAAGTCCTCCTAGGATTCGGAGAGAATTAAGGAATCAGGCCAATGTACCACCGGCAGTGCCTGAAGAGTCTCCACCGGTGCCACCAGCTCCTCAACAGTATCCCAGCATACAGAGAGAGCAAAGTACATACAGTATGAACAAACAGATACCTGAATCGCCAGTTGATTGGTCTCAACATTCTCACGAAGCTATGGTTAGAGCTATCCCAGAGATGAATGACAATCATCGTGTTACAATGATGTATCAAAATATGCAGAATGCTAACGTGCCTTATCAACATAATCATCCGCCTCAACCAATGGTTCATGGTATGCATCAAGGGCTCAATGGAAATAATGTTATTATGAGTAAGATACATTTATTTACATATTATAATTTTTATAAATAACTTTTTCATGAAACAAAAAGAAGTTAAGATATCTGTTTATTAAAAGTAATTGCTTTTACAGTACTAAAATATTTAAAATAATACTTTTATGAAACAGTACCATAAAGTAATGAAGCTGATTTAAGTAATGCACAAACCCTGAGCTTATTTTACACACAGTTGATTTTAAGCTCTACTGTCAATGCAATAAAATAAAGTGGGGAAATTTGACAGTTTTGTATAATGTATAGGTTATTAGGTTAAATTGGTATTTCTAACAATAATTTATAGTGAAAATATGGATATGCTAGTAAGATGTTTTGTTCATCATAATGTAGATGAGAATTACCCTATGCCGAGACACCAGCACAATATCGCAACACCTGCAGCACCACATTTGCCATTGGCTGCATCGAAACATGAATTGCGACTAACTCATGAACAGGTATTCATAATTTTGTAAAAGTATAAAATTACTTGAAATTAAGTAATGTTTGTTATTGTTTTGTTTTTCAAACTATCTATTTGGGATACCAAATTTAGGTGTGTTTATTATTATTCAGTTTCCAGGTTTTTCTAAGATTTTACTCAAGTCTATAGTAAATAACATAGAAGTTGGTATGGTAAATAGCACTTTTGAAAAGTATAAATAACACAGGCGTAACTTTGTTTTATGGATAGGTTAAGTATGAAAATTCACAGGTGTTTGATAAACAGAGGTGTAACTTATTTTACATACTAATATTTAAATATGTGCAAAATATTGTTAAGTTTAGCCTACATTACAAATTACAAGTTAACATTAAAGTCCCCTTAGTTTTACAATCTATGTTTCAAGATTTAGGCTTTTCGGGATTGAGCAAGTAGCATACTAACAGTAACAGATATCAAGAAGCACTTCAATACTTGAAAGATGACAATATAAAGTGAGAACTAAATGCCCAACTGCAAAAAAAAAATAGTTGAAAATAGAATTATGAATTTCATTTTTATTTGAAATGCAAAAAGTGAAGCAAGTTTGTCCATGTACATTTTAGTTACATTTTTGGGTAGTAACTTAAAAGTATGTACTTGTACTAGATGACTTGTTGTACTTCGTATCACCTCTCACCGTTTAAACTTTCCCTGGTCTACAACAAACATTTAAAAAACGAAAAAAATTCTTGGGTTTTAGCAAAGGGAACAAACAGAAATTTATTTTTATTAATATTAAACAAAAAAATATCTAAATAAACGATTTATCAACTATATATGATAAATTGTTTGTTAAAAAGGTTTTTTTTTGATATCACTCTTAATTTTTATTTTCTTATTCAATATTGTGACACCTTTGTTCATCTAAACTTGTTGAGAATAGGTTCAGGTGTCATATCATCTTACAGTTCATTGTAATTTCACTCAGTGTAATTACACAAACAAGTTTACAATAACATTGATGTCTCCGGGAGCTTGACACTACTCAAATTTCACGTTTGAAGGTTCCATACCAAGTATACAGTTTAAGTTCTACTTAAGGTGAGCTTTTATTGAATTTCATTGTTTTCCTTAAACAACTACATAAATCACAACAAGCCCTTTCATTTGAAATGTTATCTTATGTAGTTGGTGAAATCTTTTGCCTCTTAGAGTCACCGATTTACATATTTACATATAAAATTTTTAATTTTTCAATTTACATATCACTGATGTTGATGATCAAACTTTCACGTTACATGTTTTCATTATGAGCTAAGGCACGAGATTTTACGAAATAATCAATTTTATTCTAAGGCTATAATAATATTTGCCAAATAAAAATAATTTTATGGAAATTAAACATATGATCGGTTATTTGCAAAAAGCAGAAACATAAATTTCAATAATTGGCTCAATAGAAAGAATCGCAAAGATAACTCTAAATAGGTTTTTGGATTGACCTTACGACTATTATAAAATAAGAAAAATGTTTTTTTTATAACTGCTTTGGCTTTTTTTATGTGATTAAATATGTATTTATGTGAAATCTAGCGAGCCCGTCTGTATTCTCGATGCGTATATGTATAGGAATGGACGTACAATAGGGCCCTAAAAAGTTGCTTTAATATGTTGCAAAGTTATTTTTCTATTGTAGAACAGTTAAATCATACAAATTACTATTCATTAGTAATGAGTCTAGTCACATATTACGATACTAAGTAATATTTAAAGAAAGTGAAAATGGTGGATGACACGTTTTTAGGTCAATTTTCACACTATTGCTTTGGTTCAGATATAGTGACTCTTGGTGCTCTTGGCTGTGATGTTGTTATAATATCTTTCTTTTACAACTACACAACATTTTGTTGATGACACTTTCACTGACAGTAACTTTCTAATATTGTGTAGAAAGGGCTGGTTCATGTTACAGATTGTAAAAATAATAGCTATATTGATTTATAGATTTGTAGAATGTTGTGATTTATATACAGTAAGAAAGAATGTATACACTTTTATTTCGAAAAGGTGAAAAAAGAACTTTGGTAAAGGACGGATCGTAGATGGGTGACCAAAAATTATGATAGTGCTACTCTATGCTTCGGCAAACTTGGTAAAATATTTCCTGTAGTCGTCGTGCATTGCGAAGCATGGATGAGCTCGAGGCAATAAATTATATATATATATATATTTATATATAAATTTTCGGTCACCCATTCCATGATTGACCGTAACTTGCTTAACTTTCACATCACAGACCGAACGCTCTAACCACTGCGTCATCGAGCTACATCTATACTAACATTATAAATTGGAAAGATGTGATTGTTTGTTTGTTTACATCGTATAGGCTCCAAAACTACTGAATAGTAGGTGGGTAACATAGGCTTGCGTACCATAGGCATAATTTACGCTGGCGAAGTCGCGAGAAAACAGGTAGTATATCATATTCTTTTTAATATTAAATAACATCACATACATTGCTTAGATTCTAAGATGAGTAGCTGACGACACTGTATGGCGAGAATGTGTCGCCTCAGAGATCGCGACATCTTGAAACCGGCGTATGAACCGCTCGGCTTCAGAGGCCGTCGGTTCAATTAATTCATTTGTTCCATTCAATAGTTCCGTGCGGCTCTCTGTTTGGTGGTGAGCGAAGGTGATCCTCGCGCATCTCTCACTGGCTTCAGCAAGATCGGTGAAGGCAGCACGGGCGTCGTGTGTGCAGCCACCGAAAAGGAGACAGGTCGTCGGGTCGCCGTCAAGATGATGAACTTGAGGAAGCAGCAGCGACGCGAGCTCCTGTTCAACGAAGTGGTAAGCTTGTTAAATTCTTTACCGTGACATTGTTTTTATTTAATGGTTTCTTTTTTAATATGTTTTACACAAAATACTATACTGGTGGACTAAAAATAGGCCACTTCTATTTTTTGTTGATTCTTCATAAATAAATTAATAGTGTGTAAATGTCGCAGCCAAATGATATAATCTGGGTTGAGATGAGGCCAGCATTTTCTAAATTCTTCTTTTACTCCCAAGCCAACATGGAACTAAAACTATCTATCTGTTGATTTGACTATAATTAGAATAAAAATGAGTTATATCTATGCCCAGTAAAGAAAGTTAAACAAAATATTACTTTTATAACATTTATTCAGACATTAGACTATTGATGAAGACATTGAAAAAACTTCTTGAAATGTCAAAGGTTGAGGGTAGGTATGGGGGCTTAGAGCGTAATTGTTGTAGGCCACTCGGGCCTGCACCGGCATCGTCCATATAAAAATAAAATTTAACAACAAAAACAAAACAAAAATAAAACAATGACAACTTAATCACGTAAAACGGCAAAACAACAAGAAAAGCAGTAGCATTCACAATGGATGACAATCCCAGATTAGGTATTTTGACAATTTTGAATACATCATAGTCTGACAAAATTAAAAAACTGTACTGCGGTACGTTTGAAGGGATTAGGCAACGTTTTAAATTTGGTAGAGTTATAGTGACATGAGAATCGTGCCGAAACTGCTTCTTGGGGTTCTTTAAGATGAACTTTTGATTGTAATAGTTATTAAATCATTTAAGTTAATCAAATACTCATAAATTTGTTTAATAGATTTCTTAAATGACAACAGTTAAGTATAGCAGCTGGTATTTAAGTGAATATGTAGCAAATTAGCCGTCAGTCTTAAGAATAAAATGTTTATTGATATTTTGTCACAAGGTATAGCATGAAAAGAACCTTATTTAACTTCTGTCTAATGCTATAATTAATGGAGTATACATTAAATTGAATTCTAATCCTTATTATTCCAAAATCCCGTTAACCTTAAACTTTATCCCTTTCCTGACGTTTCCCTAACTTTACCCACAAAATAATGTCATTGGCTAAATGCACAAGCCGTGCGAAGCCAGAAAAAAAAAATTAAATTGAATATTGAACGTCAGCCCGCCCGTAACAGTGGAAACTGATTGAAGTGGGCGGTGACCAATTCAAGTTACGGTTGGTGCAAATCTGTTATTTCCTTCGTAGGCGAGTTGTTTACTTATTTTTTTTTAGTTAATACACTATACACTAGAGGTTCCCAAACTATTTATTCACGGAGACCAATTAAAAAAATACTGGTTTCGGTGGACCCTCTGCTGCTACATTTTACCATATTCCCAAAATTCGTCCAAAATGTGAAGATCTAACGATAGAAATTGGCGTCGCGGGTGAGTACGTAGACCCCCGTTGAATCCCTCGCGGACCCCTGGGGGTCCACCTGGGCCATTTAGGGAATCACTGCTATACACTTTTCGTATTTGTTGAATGGTGTCAAAATTTTTGTGGGCTGTTCATAGTGATTTGTTTTCAGGTGATAATGCGCGACTATCCACACCCTAATATAGTGGAAATGCACGCTTCTTACCTGGTCGGTGACGAATTGTGGGTGGTTATGGAGTACATGGCCGGTGGTGCGTTGACTGACATAGTGACCAGGCACGCGGCACGTATGGAACCAGAGCAGATTGCTACTGTATGCAAACAATGTTTAAAGGTAAGGTTTAGAAAAATACTTAAAAATAAAACTAAATTAAATTGGCCATATAGATTTGTAACCGTTTTTTCAAACTGTAATTATGAATATGTTTTTTATTAAAAAAAAAAACGGGAAAATCTTTCAAAAGTACGTGTTCAGATAGGCCCTCAGGTGTCATGTTAATTCGTACCAGTTACATTATTTACATGCTGCATCAATTTTTTTTTCAGGCATTGGCATTTTTGCATGCTCAAGGCGTGATTCACAGAGACATTAAGTCTGACTCTATATTGATGACGGGTGATGGTCGCGTGAAATTATCAGACTTCGGTTTTTGTGCTCAAGTGTCGCAGGTATGTGTAGATGAAATAATAGTTTCGTATTTGATTCGCGTTGTCTATGAATATTTTAATACTGTTAGCATCTTTAAGATGTATATGTCCGAGTATTTCATTTGCATAGTGGAAAGAGTAAATTACATTAGTATTTCTTAGTGATTCAGACTTTTATAGTTATTAATTAATTTAATATCATAATATATTGTATAAATATAATGACTGAATTATTAATTTATTAGTTCAGAATATTTTTTTTCATAGTTCAGTAAACTATGGTGTTTCTGTTTATGAACCCCGGTAAAATGGGACTTGGCATTCCATACACAAATGGTAAAAACTGGATCCTATTTAGAATCCGCTATCCGTCTGTTTGTCACCAGCTTGTTAGTTAGCTAGACAGTTGAAATTCTAATAGATGATATGTTTCTGTCGCCACTATAATAACGAATACTAAAACCAGAATAACATAAATAGTTTTTCTATAGATAATGATACAGAATACTACGTGCACGGCGTCCTACTAACTTGGACTCGCATTTGGTTGATTTTTTAAATGTTTATTTACAACCACACCGCTTGGCAGATTGTCATGTGATTTCATTAAAGATAGTTGTCATCAGTTTTTGAATATAAAGTAAAACTACGTATCAAAGTAGCTCGGTGGCGTAGAGGATAAGCGCCGCGGCCCTCGATCATTGTTGATAAGCAACTTTCGCAAGTCAGTCATGGTGATGGGTGAAAAAAAATATTCGTGCTTTGGAAGGCACGTTAAGCTGTTGGTCCCGGCTGTATTTGCAGTCGTTAATACCCTCCATCCCGAGACCGACCCTTGCGAAAGTTGTTTGACAACAAGCACTGGCGCTTATCCACTACGCCATCGAGCTATTCATGACATGAACTGAGTGTTGTTAGAAGTTAGATATTAACCACAAAGAGTTCTGTCTGTTTAGTCTCTAACAATCATAGATTTTTATGACAAGATGTCAGAAGCTTTTTGTTTTTTCTATGGTATATATAAAATATTAAGTGTTTTGTTTAAAGTAAATAAAATGTGTTAATTTAATTCAAGTGTCTGTTGTTGCCACTGTCAGACTGCTTTAATACAAGGTACAGCTGTTTATAATAAGTGTTACGTATAAATTTGTTTCAGGAACTGCCAAAGCGTAAATCCCTTGTGGGCACACCGTATTGGATGTCGCCAGAGGTTATATCGAGGTTGCCATATGGACCTGAGGTCGATGTGTGGTCTCTAGGGATCATGGTTGTTGAAATGGTGGACGGGGAACCGCCTTTCTTTAATGAACCACCACTACAGGTATTAAAAAAAAAGATTTATTTATTTTTTCCTAAGTTCCCACAGTAACATGTTATGGGTCGAGACGAGAATGATATCTGAGTTAAGTAATCTTTATCAGTGCTATTAATAAACAAGGTTTAGCGGCAGAGCAAATTACGCTAAAATTGCTATTCAAGTATTAGTCCAAATTAATATTATACAGAGAATAAGCAAACCTACTACCTTCTAGGGGTAAATATTACTCCCGTAGAGCCTCGTACTAGATTAACCTTTGCTAAGTCTCTGTTTAATTATATTAATTTTGACTTATACTAAGTGCAGTCAGTTGGGTTTCTATACAGTATTGTGTCAATGTCTAATCAGTGGGCCTTATTAGGCGACAGTACTTTTTTTTTAATTTGAACTGTGTAAACCCTTCCTCAATAATTATTATAGTAGAATAGTAGTGGGCGTTAAAGACTGCAGATGCAGCCAGGATCAACGCCTCAATGTGCCGTGGAAACGTAGAGTTAGAGATAATAAATTTTTGGTCACCCATCTTCAGTCGATGTAGAAAATTGTGTTTTCTATGTTGTCTCGGGTCTTTATGGTACCTTCGTTGTCTCACATACTCCGCAATACGCGGATTTGAGCTACTCATCTTGGAATCTGAGCAATGTTTGTAATGTTCTCTAAAATTTAATTAATTGTAATTATAACATATAGTAGCGATACATAGTAGTTCTGTGGCGTAGTGTAAAAGCACCGCGGCCCGGGATCGTTATTATTAAGTAACTTTCGCAAGGGTCGGTCACGAGATGTGTGACCAAAAAATTATTATCTCTTGCTACTTCGTGCGTGGAGGGCCCATCCTTCTTAACCATCCATAAGGAAGGTCTGAGCCCTTGCAGTGGTGACATAAAAGGGCTGATAACGATTTATAACATAGACTTTGCGTCGTATCCGCGATATGCCGCCGCCTTGTCTCAGATGCGCGTCCCGCTGCCCCCCGGATCTAATATCGTTCATAGAGTGCGGTTTAGTTAGAGATCTTTCTCCCTCTAACTCTATTATTGCTTTCTCTTCCCCTCTTGCGTCTCTGATATTGTATAATGTTTATATATTATTTACAACATAGGCAATGCGTCGTATCCGCGAACTGCTCCCGCCTCGTCTCAGATTAGCGTCTTGCTGCCCCCCGGACCTAATTTAGAGATCTTTCTCCCTTTAATACTATCATTATTCTTTGCTTTGTCTCTCTTGCTCCTCCGATATTGTATAATGTTTCATCAGCAGCCTTTTACGTCCCCACTGCATGGGCTCAGGTCTTCCTTATGGACGGTTAAGGAGGATGGGCCATGACCCTCCACGCTAGCCCAATGCGGATTGGAGAGTATTAGCGACTGCAAATGCAGCCGGGACCAACGGCTTAACGTGCCTTGTTAAGCACGGAGTAACTAGAGATAATAATTATTTGGTCACCCATCCCGTGATCCCGATCCTTGCGAAATTTGCTTAACGTCAACGATCGCGGGCCGCGACGCTTATCCGCTACGCCACCGATTTAATGTTTATATACCTATTATTTACAACATAGGCAATGCGTCGTATGCGCGTCCCGCGGCTTTTGGACCTAATATCGTTAATTAAGTGCGCTTTACTTAGAGATCTCTCTAACTCTTTTACTGCTTTCCCTTCCCCTCTTGTTTCCTCTGATATTGTATAATGTTTATATATTTAGGTAAATATTATTTACATTACAACATAGGCAATGCGTCGTAACCGCGATATGCCACCGCTTCGTCCCTGATGCGCGTCCCGCTGCCCCCCGGACCTAATATCGTTCATAGAGTACGCTTTAGTTAGAGATATCTCTCCCTCTAAGTCTATTATTACTTTCTCTTCCTCTCTTGCTCCTGTGTTATTGTATAATGTTTATAAACTTATTAATTCACAACATAGGCAATGCGTCGTATCCGCGATATGCCGCCGCCTCGTCCCAGATGCGCGTCCCGCTGCCCCCCGGACCTAATATCATTCATAGAGTGCGCTCTAGTTAGAGATCCCGCACAGAGACAGTCGGCATCGAGATTGTTGCACCATCCGTTCTTAAGAAGAGCCGGCCCCCCTGCTCTATTAGTGCCGCTTATGCCGCCAACTGAAACGCAGCGTTGAGTAAGTTGAATTGTTTTTTCCACGTAACAGGTTATTCTACTCTTTAAAAGTACTTTAAAAAACAAGTTTTTATATATTTGATATAAAATCGAAATTAAAATTTTGTTAATACACGTGAAAACGCAGCCGCCATTTTCATGACGTCATTTCGATATGTATACAAAACATAGAATATTTAATGAATAAAAGAAGTCAATTACGCTAGAAAAGTATCAAAAGTACGTTATAGGTGTACAAGTCAAAGGGTAAATGTTATGAATATGCATTGAAATCTCAAGCGAGAAACAATTTAATTGTGTAAAAGGAGCGAAGATCAACGAGTCTTCGATTTTAAAGTGTGTTTATGAATTGACCGTCAAATGGGAGTACTTCTATCATATTCGCAATATTTGTAATTAGCAATAATCAAACACAAATTGAAGATTCTTTTATTTATTCGTGTTATATTCTGGGTCAGCCCTGCGATTCTGTAATAATCCAAAGCCAAATTCGAATTCAGTCAGGTGCCCGAATTCACTTCAAAAAGCGGCATCCGCTCTACCTTGAATTGGTAATAACGTTTCGTGGCATAAGTGAAGTGAGTTTCAAAATGAAATAGGAATATCTGAGACACGTATACTCAATCACTTTTGTTTTTTATTTTTATACAAAAATTTCCTCAAGAGCATTTCTATACTAAATGACGTGCATTTGGACACATTAGTGAATTCGAATTTGGGTCTGGTTTATTGTGGATATTTAAAATATTACAATTTTATCCGTTTTCCCCAAAGTTGCCTTCTACAAATTAAAACTTCCCATCCCGATTTTCCTTCGGAGTCTGGTACACCTATAAGAACATGTCTATCTTACAGTGGCAGAAGTTTTTGCCATCGTAGCAGCTTGTTTCAAGACAAAAACTCTACTTATAAATAAATTATAACATGCGATTTTATGACTTAAATTCTAAATATCTGTTTTATTTCTATGTAAGTTTTATTTTTTATGCAAATTGGTGACTTATTTTTTACACTGAAACTACCCTATAAAAAAAAGGTGTTGGAGTGTATGTAATGGGATATTAAAGAAAAACTTAAACTTGATAAAAATGCTAATTTCAAAAAGTGATTTAAGAAAAAATGTTGTCAGAAATACAATACTTCTTTACAATACAAAAATAAAAATTGCCGAATACAGTTCTAATGTGTTACAATTAAAAAAAAAATTAAATAATTGATCTGATTTCTTATATCAATGTTTGCAGGTAACATTCTTCATTTTGGATAATCAAAAAGGAGCGACCTGATATTATAATTTTGCTTAATCATTTGAAAAATATGTCGTTGTTGCTTATCAATCACAGAGTAACACAAAACTAGTGTACATCAAACAAAAGTCGAGTAAAAGAATCATTCATACAAGTTTATCATTGTTTTTATCTTTGATAATAACAGTTTTTATATTCTACTGTAAGTACATCCATAGATTACGTTGAAAATTTTACTAATACAATGTGTTTTGGTTATAATTATTATTTCGCTGATATAATTCTATTGACGAAAAATTCATCCTGAGAATCTATTTTATATTTACCTTAAGAATCGTAAAATAAACTGGAGTAAATAATTCAAAAATATGTAATAATTCCATGTTAAAATCATTCCATTGAAACATAATTATTTAATCAATCTTATATTTTGTTACTTTATTTTTTATTTTCGCGATGAAAACGAAATGAAATAAACAGAGACGAAGTTTTAATTATATGACAAGAAAAAAAAAATGTATTATTATAACATTCCTTGAATTGTTTTATAATGTTATTGTAGCCATATTTTGTAATGGATATTATCTTTTTTTTTTGTAAATAGCTAAAAATATTAAAGCTTTGGGGACCTCTCTATACAGATAATATATTCGATTTTAATTATAGTTATCTATAAATGGCCAGCATATCATTTTACTACAAAGGATTATCTTCTAACGATATTAAGCCTTAATATGTCGATAGTTAAGTCCAAAATTGGCTGTTGTAGTCATCTGATATGCTGTTTTTTATTGTTTGGTTTATATAAAGATGCCATTGTAGTATGATCTTAAGCGTGAGGGTTGATACACATCTCATGGAAGATACATCACTTAATTGTCGGTAGTAAAACGTCAAAACAGACAATATGATTTGACATTCAACCTTGCACACTCGACGGATGATCCGTCGCTTAATAAAGATTATTTCTTATACCCTTAAGTTTTCTTTGCACTGGCGTTTTTTTTTCGGCGTAGGCGTTCTTTATACGTATACTTAAGGCAGACATTATTTATTTATTTAAGAAAAGCGTTGGTTGCTTTTGGCTAACGTCACGAATACTTTCAGGTATTGGACTGGGAATTTTGTTATTGTAAATCATTAATAATGGTAATAAGTAATTCTATAAATCTTTAAAGAATAGTGAAATGAAATAATGAAAAGCTGCTCGTAGTAAAGATATTTCTTAATGGAGTTTACTTAAATATACTAGCAATTTGCTTCGAGTTGGCTGTTGACGGCTGTTTTAAAATGAGGTCATATGCACTGGTACCGTTATCGGCTCAACTATCCATCAGTTGGAGTTGATACTTTTACAAACCTTGACAGATTCTGATTAGGGTTCAAAATCAATTGTGTTTTGTCATTCTTTGTAATCATGTGGCGTGCATGTCTGTACATACGTTTATAGATCGCCTACGCTGGGGAAGTGTGTAGTGGTTATAATTACCTATATATTCTGGTCCATCGATGACGGGACTCGGGACATTTTTATTTTCTATGACGTATGTCACTGTATAGTGCATCTTAGTGAAAGAATAATTAGATACATCGAATAATGGCCTGAGACATGAATATTAGCAATACATATGCCCATTAGAAATATGACTATTTTTTTTAGAAAAAAAACCTGTATGTATTATAACTTGAATGGCCGTAAAATTCAATAAAATATATCAGAGCGTGTTTTAAACGCACATATAATAAGGAAGAGTTAGTTTAAAATTATAATATACTTATTGGTTATTATATATTTGTAGTTCTATGTAAGTTATATTCTTTATATAATATAATGGATTATTTATTCGTGACGAAGTTGTGACGTGTTCAGTATCAATCCATTTGATATTTAAAATCGTGCCTTCACTTATTACTAACCCATAAAAAATAACAGTGAAATAAACACTAAAATGAAAGTGCCACAAATTTTGTATCAAACGTACTTATTTGGTATACCTTTCTAAATCAGTATTATTTGCATAGCGAAACTATGTACTTACTTTCTAAGAAATCATTTAATCCTATTTAAATTAAGTTAGATTAAACAGATGATTTGATAGCCTAACTTCGACAGTCTCAAAATAATTTCAAATGGAAACAAAACTATTTGGCCTATGTACATCTGTGATCCTTATAGTCTTTGCTTATATGCCAATATTATATACAGTGAACGAAATATATACAGCTATTTTGGATTGAAAATTTCAAACGTATATGTCAACATGGATATATGTATATGACTTCCTTATAAGAGGTTTTAAAATGTTTCTAGAGCTAATATGAACAAATCCGTAGCAGCTGGAGTTTATTTTAATAGTTAAAGAAAATATTTTCTAGTTAGTATATGTATATTTTTATATTATTTTCATACTTTACACTAAATTCCCAGCATCGAGGTCTCATCTATACTAAGACAACATTCTATGTAACATAATATTTATACTTACTCTGATCACTACTTAATAGTAATAAGAAATTGGAACATAGTTGTTAATTTTACTGTTTTTTAATTGTAAAGCGATTCTGGCAGTGACGTCACAAATAAGTGTCTTACAAAATAGTTACGACTTAAGCATCTACAATCATTAAATGATCATAGAAAAGAGTTGTATAATTGATTATGTACGTTTATTTTAGAACCCTCTTGAGGATAGATTTAGTGCCTTACACAGCCTTTATGTAGATTAACTTATATTTAAGCACGTTTTCCACCTATTGTTGTTACTGGGTAGCTATTTATATAGAACAGTTGTTTAAAAGTTCATAGACTATGATATAGTTACACGCTAGTACTAAAATATAAAATTGTTTTTACACTAGTACTTATTAAAAGATGAATATACACTAGAGCATTTACTTGTATCAGGACGAACTACTAGAGCTCAAGTCGTGTAGAAACAAGTGAATTATTAAAAGAACTAATGGGGACTAAAGGGGCGTGTTTGAATAAAGTGGCTCGTCGCTAATGGACTCAGTTTCACATTCGCGATTGTGATTTGATTACTCTGTTCGATGAGTCTAGTCGACGCCAGGCTTAACATTTCGTCAAATAAAGACACTGACACTAAGAGGAAAAAAGAAGGTTGAGAACGAAAATGCTCTATTTTATATACAGCTTAACTGACCTTATAGTTAATAGCAGAAACAAAGAGTACTTACGTTATTTATGTGAGAGCTGAATGAGTTCAATAAAATAATATTTTTCACTAAATTCAAATCATGTAGCTATTTATATATTTTTTGAAATAATACATTACAACACAATTTTGTTTATGTATGAATTATTCCAGTTATTAAGATATTTAACATAAAATCTAGGTACTAATTATTTAATATGCATGCACATTCTGCTGATCCAAGTGTCTTCTAATTTATTTTGTATATACTACTGCGTGTAGCCACACCGATGAATGTATAGACAACAGCACAACGGGTTATACAAATTCAAATTTCTTCACTTGATTATAAACCTTAATGCATTAAGGATAGGGTTGAGAAATTTGACATTGTGGTAACGTGATGTGCGGTTATTATTTCATGACAATTTCACTGATAAGTGAAAGTCCAACGTTAAATAGTTTTTAATACAATATCCTGATATATTTTGGGAGAATATCGACTTTAAGTACCTATTTTACATTCATCGGAGCATTTGGATATCAACATTTATAACAGACTAACAGCCAGTTGCACAAACGGCCATTAAAATTTTCATTAGTTTAAAAGCGACATTACCCATAAAAATTTCATTAGAGCTTAAAGGCGTCATTAAACACTAATGGACGTTTGTGCAACTGACCGATAGTGATATACATTATTTCATCACAAAACTATGTACGTACTCACCTGAATAAATAGCGGTATACAATTTTGTAAATTATTTCGTAACCGTTATTTTCTGTAACATGCCAAATGATCACATTGTTGATATGATTTGTTAGAAAATACAGATTTTGAAATAAATTGTTGTTGTCATTTTAAACTTCCATCCATCCATTATCATGTAAAGCTAAGTATATCGGCTGCACGTGAGGTTGCTGCAACATGACTTTCCACAATAAATGTTGACCTTTGACCTATGTTTTAAGTTTAAAAATGGCAAACGAGTGTGGAAATTTTACATTTTGTGAAACCTATCGTGCTGTTGACTGTACAGTAAATCCCAACTATCTTGAATGTTTGTTTGCGCATAGCAGCATGCTTACTTTCAAAGGCAATCGCAATCGATCAACTTGATTTGGTATACTAGCGCCAATTGGCTCAATAAGAGTGTAGACAACTTTGTTTTTATGGCACTTTTGTGTGTTTTACGTTTTACTGTAATATTAATTAAAATTACAATATTTGAATAAATTTGGAAAAAATACATGAATGACACGTATTATAAACGGGTATTTTGAATAAAGTTTTATGTATTTATTATTGTTTGACGCAATTATATTTTTTATATAAAACCTCTAAAAGAGCAATTACTGTATTATAATCTCGGAAACAGTTCCAACAATTTTCAGAACATTAAGTATGCAGGGACTTAATAATCGTTAGTACTTAATAAATCGTTTTAGTAAGGTTTATTTTTTTATTTTATAAAAATGCCGAGTAGTCTTAAAAAAAACCTTTAAAGAAACTAAACTTTGACATATCTAATCAAATACGTAATGAAATAAACAACCAGTGTTCTCTGCTAATATCAAAGACAAGTTTAATTATAATACAGTTTCTTATAACAAAAATACAAAAACTAAAATTTTACTCATTAACTAAGTTGAATTGATTATTAAACTAATATTATTATTAATGAAAGAAATCTATGTGTACCCAGAGATCTGTTAGAAATTAAAGAATAAATTAACAAAATAAACCAATCCGAATATTTTTAAGTAGTTTCTTCAGAAGCACAAAATGTTCAAAGAATCTTTACTGTTCGTCTTATTATCGGACTCACATAAATTCACGCTGCCGAACTTAGAATAAATCGTTTTTATGCTCGAGTGCAATCTCGTTAAACTCGCGAGATCTCGCCCATTTTTCGATCGAGATCAATCTCGCTAAAAAAGGCCGAGATCTCGCGTGAACGAGATTGTATTCCCTAATGGTGATTCAGTGAGATGGGTATCTTCACATCTGTCAAATCGCTCCCAAGCAGTAGTTATGGGATATAGGTCAGATTACATCTGTATCCCCTCTGGTGTGCCACAGGGCTCCTACCTCGGTCCTTATCTATACAACGCGTACATACACGACATACCTACATGCATTTATTGATAGCTCCTTTCATCTATGTTATGCTGACGATAAAAAAAAATTACATATTAAAACCATCCGAGACTGTAAACAACTTGAATCTGACTTAAATCAATTATTTAATTATTACAAGAAAACTAAAATCTCTGTAAACATCAACAAATGTCATTGTATGTCTTTTACCCGCAAAAGAAAACCAATATAACTTTAACGGAGTTCTAATCGAAAGAGTAAACGAGGCGCGTGATTTGGGTGTAATGTTGGATTCAAAGTTGACGATGGTACTCACATAGATAATATTATTAAAAAATCTTACAGAAATCTCGGATTTGTTATGCGTACATATCTATTCTACCTAATTATGCAATACATATAAATAGATTGGAATCCATTCAAAGAAAATTTTTATCAAGATTATATTACAAATTCAATAAAAAGTCCAATAATCAATCAATACACTGATAATGGTCGCTTATATTCTTTGTTCACCTTACAAGACAGACGTTATATGTTGGACATGGGGCTGCTTTTTGACATACTAAGAGACCGCATTGACAGTCCGGAACTACTAGCTCTTATAACATTTAATACACCTACACTATGTTTTATGTTAACAATATGTTTTATGTCCCTAGACACCCAACACCATACAGTAACAATGCGGTTGTTACTATAAAAAAATAAAAATATAATAATAATAATAAAATACCTTTGATCCGTTTATCACTTGTAAGAGAACTTTTATGACCAACTTAAGATGATGCTTACAAAATAATACAATAAATTGGTTTGTCAGTAACCCTTGTACCTAAAATGTATTTATTAACGGGAGTACAATAAGTGCCTATTAAAATATGTATGATTGTATGACATGTATTATTATATAATATGTATCTATTACCGATAATGTAACAATTAGTATGATATGTATATATTATGTATTTACTCGTATCACTAAGTGAGAAGTTGGCAGACAAAGTCGAGCGCGGTGGCCGGCAGCGACGGCAAACCTACTACTACTTACCATTACGCACTGTTGAGTGTTGATAACGGTTGATGCGCTCGGCCATTGACATAATTTCTCAATATTGTTTTACCCTCAACTGAAGTTATTTTATGTGGATAACTAATATTGACCTTCTAAGTAAGTGCTAGAATTAAGCATTGCATTGTAATTTAAGGTTGTTCTTGTCCCAAATAAATTAAAATAAATCAATAGAAATAATATGTACCTATAGATTTTCTTTTACTGTCTACATCCGTATCGCTCAACCAATGCATGGTTAGTAAATTAACTAATTGACATTGAGTAAGTTTCGAGTCTATGTTTCAAAAGTACGAGCTAAGATTTGAGGAAATTTAAATCGTCATGGGACTGGATTGAAATTGACATTGGATTCAAAAGTAAGCCCACAGATCTACAGATTCCAGTATAAAGGGGTGGACCAAGTATGAATGAAAAACTATTTTCATTTTATTAGTTTATATTTATTTTCTAGTTACTTTGAAATCAAAATGTTTATTTATTAGTACAAACAAGGAATAATTATTTATAGAATTCATATTCGCTTTCATCTTTCTTGATATTGTTCTTATAGCCTTTTTCGAAGTCCTTAGGTAGAACAATATATCTGAAACGTAAAAAAAAACAGATTTTAATATGTCATGTCGTCTTCCAAGGAGTACAATGGGGTCAGGCTACTTCATAATAGAGGTTACTTCATCATTATCACCAGCCTATTAATGTGCCTGGGTCACATTCCCTATGGAAGGAATCTGTTACAAAAACACGCGGGCCCAGAGCAGATCGATGGGTTTCAACGACTGCACAAGCAGCCGGGAACATCGACTTAACGTGACTTTTGAAACGCGGAATAGCAGTCACCCATCCTATGACAGACCTTTATGAAGTTTGCTTAACAATCGCATCACAGACTACTGCACTATCGACCACCTCATCAAATATATATTATTATTTGTAAAATACCGGTACCCTCGATTGATTGTTTTAGCGAGACAAACGAACAGCAATTGATTTTTGTTTAAATTGATTTAAATATATAGTTTAAAAAACCTCTATCACAGTGAGAACCAGGAGTTGGTGAGCCAGTTTATGTGTATTAGACTTTTTTTTGAGATAAGCATTTCGCAGTGAGGAATCTTAAGTACTACTCATGCGGATTAAGATGACGCCCGAAGGCTTATTCTAATTCTCCGAAAACGTAATTTCGTAAGGTCAATACGACTCTTAAAGAAACGCATTTTCTTGATAACTTATAATGCAACGGAGGTACGTCCCGACATGCTTTTGATATGATTTTAATAAAATTAATTTGAAATTTTCTGAACTCTCATTCGAGGATAAATAGAATAGGCCCTCAGGTGTCGTGTTAATTCGTACGAGGTATACGCACCTGTTTTCCCTGACAGCGTGCATGCCAGCTTCCTGACAGATGGCGTTAATGTCGGCACCAGAAACACGATCCGGCCGCGCTACAAACTCTTCCAAATCCACTTCCTCAGAAAGATTCATTTTCGCCGTGATCGTGGAGAATATTAGACGCTTCTGGCGTCTGTAAACAACCATAGATCAATTAATTAAGGCGATATTGTACGAAACTACCACTTTTAAACTAATTTTATTGACTTCGACTATGCTAATATTAGCCAAATAAAAATAATTTTATGGCCATTACACATATGATCGATTGCTTGCTAAAAGAGAAACACAAAGAACACTTTCCATACATTGATTTACCTGTCACATTTTAAGTGTCGCGTCTACCCACTATTAGTAATAATTTAAATTAGTTTTTGCTTAAAATTGAATGATGTCGTAGCATTTTTTTATTTGGAGACCATTCGTAATTTGTAAAAAATGTTTATAATAAAAAAAAACAGCTGTTATGTTTTAATGTTTGATCTCCATACTGAAAGTTGGTATTTGTATCAGGCTAGTAAGCGGAGGTACGAGATTTTCAGATACAATTAGTTGTCACTTCGAGCTTAAGTTAAAACTAGCACTAGAGAAACGATTACGATTTCGAAGTTTGGTGCTGCAATAGTTAATAATAAGAAAAAATGATAAACAACTAAGTTATTTTGGTCCTGTAGTTCACATGCTTAAAAAAAAGTTCGATTCCCGTCTCAAAGTGCCAGGGACAAAGTAGATTTTTTTAAGCAGTTTTCATTAAAATAATATTCAGTATAGAATTGTAAATACAAAATTCATTAAATATAATAAATATATTTTCAGGTTAAAAAATATTGAGACAGTACTATCAATTGGTTAACAAAAATATGTTATAAGAGGTCTCTCTTTTCCCGAAGTCTAACACTACTCTATAGTGAAACTTCTGTAATATTATAGAAATTAAAAAAAATCTCTTACTATTCATACTTTTTATGTATAAGAACAATGTTGTTGAGTTATGACAGCCACCATTTATTTCTTTTCTATAGGATGTTCCGGGTCTTTAAACTTAATTTCATTAGCAGTGTATTGCAAAGTTGAAGATTAGGGTTTTGTTGGTAAATTTAAGTTTAAAAGGCGAAATTATATAGCAACAAATATACGAGATATTTACCTGTCTGGTAGTGGAAATTCGATTTTTCTGTCTAGACGCCCGGGACGCAACAGGGCAGGATCCAAAGTATCGGCACGGTTTGTCGCCATTATAACCTATAATTTTTTTATAACCAAAATTACATTCTGTTTTAGAACAGAAACATGAAAATTATAGCGACTGAAAGCATTATTTATAGAACACAAACAATAATTTATATTAATAACGGCTCTCTCGACCCAGCCCAGGCGCATGATTGACTGTTAGAACATGTTTGTATAATTCTATATTTTCCCGAGTCTACGCTTGTATAAAGCAACATTTTTAGGTGCAATTATCATTTTCAAATTTTCATTAGTAATTATTTTATATACCTTTACTGCTTTGAGACTGATTAATGTATGTGATATTGCAATTGGAGAATATTATGATTTGATGATGAACAGATATTAACATACCTTCACATTAGTAGTTTGATCAAAACCGTCCATTTGATTCAGCAACTCGAGAAGAATTCTTTGCACTTCTCTGTCAGCACCAGTTTGTGCATCGAATCTGTAATTTATTATGGATATTGTAATCTCATAATCTAGTAAAATAGAACTTTTAAACACAAAAAAAACATCCATTAGTACCAGTAGGTCCTGAGTTTAGAGAGTTCAAACAAACTAACTCTTTAGCTTAATATTATTAGTATAGATATGTGGACTAGAGAGGTATGGGTGTTGATGATTTTAATAAATTATTTATCATTTTTCACGTGTTGCAAAATATTGTATGTCTCTAATATTTCGCTGACGAGTTTGTGACGTCTTAAATATTACTAAAAAACTGGTTTCGTAATTTACAATTAATATCTAATTAATTGAGTGTAAGATTCGGAATTTTCAATTTATATATTCACCTTTTTGTTGCGATGGCGTCGATTTCATCAATAAAAATTATAGCAGGACTGTTCTCTTTGGCAAGCCGGAACACATCTCGTACCATACGTGGCCCTTCGCCTAGGTACTTCTGTACAAATTCAGATCCAACCACACGAATGAATGCAGCTGTTTTAGAAAAAAAAAAAGAAATCACAATAATTATTTTATATAGATTGCAAATTAACCTCTACCCAGCATCAGCGTTTTACACAGTATTTAGTTGATTGATTTTTATAGGGTCTATTACAAAACTAGGTCTTTTTTAGAAAACAAATAATTTATCTTTAAATGGCAAATTGTCTCAAATTCTAGCAGACTCAAATATTAATTTTGCTCTCCACTCAATTACATATTGCTAACCAGGTCAGTCGACTGTCAAACCACTGAGCTACCTGACGGCTAAGAGGACAATTGAATTTATAAATTTTGTAATTTTGATTATAAATTTAAAATAATACTTATTGTTTGAGAAAAACAATTGAAAATAACAAAGAAAATAAAGAGCTATCTTACTTCCACTGCTATTAATGTTATTTTTATGAAAATGTCAGATCAGCAAGATAATTGTTATATGTAATAGATTTGAAAAAAGATATATAAAGCAATTTTAAAAAGTAAGCCATTAATTTAATCAAGTCAAAATTTAAGTCTACAAGTCTACAAGTCCCTACCCAACTGTTAAATAATTCAATCAACTTCTAGTTGGGTACAAATCAAGTTGCTTGAATTATTTTCACTATTTCTGATCCATATTATGAAATCATTACCAGTAGTGTGATGTGCGACAGCTTTGGCCAACATAGTTTTTCCGCATCCAGGCGGTCCATACATGAGAACACCACGAGGAGGTTCAATACCAATCTGTCGGTAGAGTTCTACATGGGTGAGAGGCAGTTCCACTGCTTCTCTGATCTCTTGTTTCTGTGTATCCATACCACCAATATCAGAGTACTGTACATCGGGCTTCTCATCTACAAGTGGAAGAAATAATTAGTATTACCTAAAATATTAATTTAACTCATGAAAAGTTTTTATTTGTTGGAGTAGAAATTGCAATAAATAATAACTCTATGTTTCAATAGCTTTAATATAATTCCCTTTTGTTATATTTTATGAGATTAAAGTAAACAACCAATTGCCTGGTCAGGTTGCTAATAATGATAGTTACATAATATAATCACCACTAGAATGAATATAAATTGTATTAAAATCAGGTATTATTAGAAAGATTTTGAATAATTAATATAGTTAACAGCATAAAAACAATTTAAAACTCTTACTTGTCCCTGATCAAATTAAATCTTTATATCCTCAAAGTTAACTTCAAAATTGGTTGAGAATAACTATGAAACAACGATATAGTCATGATTTTTTTACATTTAATATTGCATTTTATACCAGTTTCCTTGTTAATCAATAATGGCCAGGCCAAATTTAATAAATAAATTGTATAGGTTAGATTAAATATGATCCATTAACAGTTACCTGCTTGTAACATAGATATTGAACTGTCAGCTTCTGGTGGTAATACATCCACAAGAGCATTTGAATGTTTATGGAGCGCAACTGATGCAGATGGTTTCAACAGTTCACGGTCAATTGTAGACAGAATGCGCACATAGTAATTTGATCCTGTTGTACTACCAACTGGAAAGAGCATTATGATATTCAACATGTTATATATTATATTGCTTGATAAAATTAATAATTATTTTTACAATTATTGTAAAAATATATATTATTTAAAATAAGTATACTTAGTACTTGTTACATTAAAGAGTATTCAGGCTACCCCATAGTGTGGAGATATAGATACCAGTTAATTGTACATACATGTTAATGAACAAGTAAAGGAACATATATGAAAATAAAATTTAAGCCATAAAATCATTTTAAGCAGTTACATTAACAATAACTTATAGTTTAAAATTTGCCAAGAATGTTACTTAAATAAAATTTTGTATATGTATAACCAATTAATACTCTGTCTATTTGTAATAATAAGGATACATACCAATTCCAGTATTTTGATCAACAGCTTCTAAAAATTGACCAATAACAAGTGGTACGGATTGTATACGTTTCACTTCTTCCTGTGCATGGAGGTATTCTTTCTTTAGGTTTCTTTGTTCATCTTTTATGTACTCTTCTTGGACCTCTAGAAACTCCAGCATGCGTTGTAGTTTCTGTAAAACAACGGTAAATATGAACATTGATTTCTGTTCCTCTCTATGACTTAACTGGATTTTAGAAATCTTCTCAATTAATTTAATTCTGAATAATACACTTACCTTGTATTTTGTATATAAATCTTCAGACTCTAGTTCATCAAACGATTGGGGACCAGCAAAAGAAAGTCCCTTAGCATCAGTGGTTTGGTCGTCCTGAACAAAGCAATTTAGTACATTATATGTAATATAATAATGATACATGCTGACATTCAATAATAAACTGATTATATGCTTACTTTTTCGGGCAAAATGATACCGATTTCTTCCATTTTTCACTTATTTTTCCTTACAAAATTCACCAACAAAATGAACTCCACAATGACACGAGCAATCGTAAATCGAGATGTCAAAATGAAACTTCAAAATAAACGCCTTGTCATATCATGACCGTTCCGTTCTAAGCAATAAATGAAGACTTGCTTTTTCAATACACACTGGTTTTCTTTGAAAAGAAAGAAAATAAAAATATTACATAATATTTACAATAGTATGTATTTAATAATAAGTAATACTTAAAGCTTATTTAAGTGATATATGGTATATGGGAATTTTTGTAGGCGTCAATCGTCATATAATTCACAAAGATCGTATTCAGTTCTAAAGAAGCGCCTACCACACGTACATGCTTGACTACAGTTTTGCTTGCGAATGCTTCTCGCATGAAAAGATTGAACACGGACGTGTCCATCGTACGGCACAGTAAAGTACGCGCAAGCCACATTCTTGTCGAGCGTAAACGATCAAAGTAAACGATAAATATTAATTACATTAAAGATATACTGAATTAATATTGAAATAGACAACATATATATACTACATTCACCCCTGACATGTTATTTAGCTTCTAACTAAATCCCTAACATATTCAGGCATCTTCTTATCACGTGACGACTGACAAAACTTCGGTACCTTTTCCTTGAGTGCAGATGAAGAGGCAATAAAGTCAGTCTCTCTAGGAAAACTACCTAATGTATTACCTGGAACAATAGGTACATCTGCAGCATCGACTTTCTCATCAGAATCGTAGTCCTTTGTCGGTAGTTGGGCTAATTGTATATCTGAAACGGTGGTTTCACGTCCATCAAGCAAGCGCATACGAGAGTAATGAGGATTTCCATGAAGTTATTCTACTTTTTCTACGGCAGGATCAAATTTTGATGTTCTAGCGTTCTTTTTCATTAGGACTGAATTGGGAATCAGTAACCACGAAGGTATAGAATCCCCTGTCGGTCATCGTCGTGTATGGCGAAATAGACGCTCATGTGGAGTTTCATTGGTAGCTGTGCAATGGAGTGACCGTATGGATTGCAAGGCGATGTTTAGACCTTGTTCCCAACATGAACTATCTATCTAAACCATTTGACTTTAAGACTGAGTTGAATAGTTTTCCAAAGCGTCACGTTCAAGAGTTCCAAATGACCCTGAGGATTGTATGGAGTATGGCTTGTGGCAACACCATAGGTTGCTAGGAGTTGTTTCATTTCATTCGATGCAAAAGCCGTTCCTCTATCTGAATGAATATAAGCGGGTGCCCCAAAAGTAAGGAATAAATCTTTAAGGCATTTAATGACAGATTGTGAAGATTAATCAGGACATGGAGAGGCAAACAGAAATCTGGAATATTCATCAATTATCGTGAGTATATATTTGTTACGAGAAATCGTGGGCAAAGGACCCTTAAAATCAATATTGAGACGTTGAAAAGGCTCTGTAGCTTTAATTAAATGACTCCGACTGACTGACTTACATTAAATGAATGCACATGCATTATTATATTGCGGCTTAATTTTTGCACACATAGGACATGACGCTGTTATAGATTTTACGTCATTAATCGAGTATGGTAAATTCTTTGTTTGAATCCAATGCCACGTTCTTATAACACCTGGATGGCACAATAACTTATGCAAGTCATATAACTCGTTAGTAGTCATATAACGCATGCTTTTGTTTTACCAATTACATGCACAGTGTTCAGTGTACAAGCCGGCATGCGCAAGTAAAACTGTGGTCAAGAATGCACGTGTGGTAGGCTCATTAATTTGATCAAGGCCTATTAAGTTAGATCAAAAATTAAAAACGCAGGAAGGCATCAAAACCGAGAAGTGAGTAGTATCGTGTAGTGAGTAAGTGTATATTAGTTCTGCCATTGAAAGTATTAATAAAGATTTAGCTCAGATTTCTGAATGGAGCCGCAAACATGGGCTTTGGGTGAATCCCACCAAAACTCAAGTGGGCATGTCAAGGCTTAGAGCTAAAGTAAAGTTTGAACAGATCCCGCAAATAGTTTTTGATGAAATCTTCTTACAATTCAGTGATCATGTCAGAAATTTAGGTGTATATATTGATAAAAACTTAAATTGGGATGTGCAACTCAAAAAAGTGAGCCGCAAACTTTTTGCATCTGCTGGGTCTTTAAGAAGGCTTCGCAATTTCTTGCCTACTGCCACTAAAATTGCGCTCACACAATCTCTTCTAATGTACATACTCGATGACGCCGACGTCAGCTATCTTGACCTTACAGAAATGCAACTGAATAAGCTTGAGTGCCTTCAAAATTTTTGCATAAGATTTATATTTGGACTACGCAAATATGATCACGTTTCCGAATTTAGTGAGAAACTCAAGTGGCTGCCAATTTAATTTCGCCGGAATGCACATATTTTAAATATGTTATTTAATATACTTTTTAATCCCACTACCCCTGCTTATCTCAAAAATCGTTCCAAATTCCTTAAAGAATCCCATCCCCGTTTCTTGAGATCATCAGAAAACCTGCGGCTGGAAATGCCAATGCATTCCACTAAGTTCTACGATAAATCTTTTATCGTCCACGGTGTACGCCTATGGAATGCGCTACCTTTGTCGATTAGAAAAGCTAATTCTCTTAATATATTTAGGAAACTTGTCAGAGAGTACTACCTGTCCATGAAACTATGTATATAGGTATTATACATTAATATTATATTTTATATGATAATATTTATTATATTATAATATATGTAGGTATATTGTAATTAAGTATATAACAATTGCCAATTATGTATATTTATAAATTGTTTATATGTACACCAACCACTACCACATCATTAGGTCTTTTATATTTAACTCCATCCCAATGATGCCTGGAAAAGATCACTTTTAGTGCTAAAGCCGCCAATTGTACGTTTCCTGTTTTCGTCATATAAGTTTGTCTTGTCTTTGTATGTACAATAAAGAATATTCTATCTATCTATTGATATTTTGTCATATTATTATGTATTATTAATATTATATTAGGTATATAATTTTATTATAAAAATTTGGTTTGGAAAAGAATAGGTATTAATATCAATGGAATATTTTCGAGCAAACTCAGCCGGCGGCCACTCCCGGGGGGGTACGGGGGCCCTTCCGTCTGGCGGATCGGTGCTACTCCTCTGTGGGCAACATCTGGGGAAACAGGCGCCCATATTTTTGACTGGAGCAGTCGCGACAATGCCCTCCCGCTTCACGTCTCCTCACCCCTTATCCTTATGGCAGCCACAGCAACACGTTCTGGTCGTACAGCGGTGCACAACCCCACGCCTTCGCTGTTTGAGGTTGAGTTCTCTAATATACGGGGACTCCATGCCAACCTCAATGCTGTCCACCAACACCTAGAGACAGCACGGCCTGCAATGTTGTTTCTGACGGAGACGCAAATTCTCCGCCCGGCCGATACAAGCTACCTTCTCTATCCCGGCTACGCACTTGAAGAGTCCTTCAAAGCGAAAGCCGGTGTATGCTTGTTTGTCCGGGCGGATGTTTGCTGTCATCGATTGCGCTGCCTAGAAGACCCTTCCTTTTCCCTCCTAGCGGTGCATATAGACTTAGGTCATCAGACTCGAGTCTATGTGTGCCTCTACAGATCCCACACTGGCGATGCGGAGACAACTCGACTTTATGACCATCTCAGTCGGGCGGCAGATTACGCGCAGGAGCAGTATCCTAACGCAGAACTGATTTTCTTGGGGGACTTCAACGCTCACCACGAATCGTGGTTAAGTTCCTCCAAGACGGACCATGCGGGGAGATCAGCCCACGCATTCGCTCTCACGCATGACTTGACTCAAATGGTCGATCAGCCCACCAGGATCCCAGACATAGTCGGTCAAACGCCTTCCTTACTGGACCTTCTGCTTACGAGCCATCCCGTCGGTTATCAGGTTGATGTTCGTGCCCCACTGGGCAATTCCGACCACTGCTTGATATCCACCAAAGTGCCGCGAATCGAGCCCCCTCAACCTCCGAGGACTCGACGACGCGTATGGCACTATGGCTCAGCGGATTGGGACGGCATGCGCGAGTACCTTGCATCCGTTCCTTGGAAGCAGCGCTGCTTTAGTGAGAAGGATCCGACAACGAGCGCCGTTGCTATTACTGAGGAGATCGGTATTGCTATGGAATACTACATTCCGCACTCCGATCTGATCAGTATGGGCAAACACAACCGCTGGTTCAATCGCGATTGTGCTAACGCTGTTGCGTCTAAACAGCTGGCATATCGAGCTTGGATCAGGGGTCGTGCTCGGAGGGATCCCGATATCGACTCAATAAAAGCAGCCTACAATCAGGCTTCCAAGTCCTGTAAGAAGGCTTACATCAGAGCGGATGCCCAGCGCGTCGCACGTATTGGCCATGAGCTAGTTACGCACCCTACGGGCTCCCGTAGCTACTGGAGTCTCGCCAAGGCCGTGCAAAACAATTTCTGCCAGCCCTCGCTGCCACCGCTTCGATGTCCAGATGGAACATTAGCTCACAAGCCGCAGGAGAAAGCCGACCTCTTGGCAAGCCTCTTCGCGGCTAATTCCCAAATCAATGACTGTAATGCACTGCCACCAACGTTACCTTCTAGTGGCTTCACTATGCCTGATATTCATATCAGGCAGCGTGATGTGCGTGCGGAACTACAGTCACTCGATGTCCGGAAAGCTAGTGGTCCTGATGGCATACCTGCGGTTGTTCTAAAAATGTGTGCAGCGGAGTTGACTCCTGTACTTACGCGCCTATACCAGCTATCTCTTTCTTCAGGTCGTGTACCTGAGGCTTGGAGAGAGGCCATTATGCAGCCAGTGCCCAAAAAGGGAGATCGGTCAGACCCTGCAAACTACCGCCCTATAGCTATCACCTCTGTGCTGTGTAAAGTCCTGGAAAGGATTATTAACTCCCAACTGATCCGATACCTAGAAGATCACTCCCTTATAAATGATCGTCAATATGGCTTTAGACCAAAACGATCAACGGGTGATCTTCTAGCGCACGTCATGCACCTCTGGGGTGAAGCTATAGACAAGCGCGGCGAGTCCTTGGCTGTCAGTCTTGACATTGCTAAGGCATTTGACAGGGTTTGGCACAAGGGACTTCTCTCCAAGCTTCCGGCCTACGGTCTGCCCGTTCAACTCTGCGCCTGGATAGCCGACTTCCTGCGTGAGCGTAAAATCCGTGTTCTTTCTGACGGATGCTCTTCACAGCTTATGTCGGTCAGCTCCGGTGTGCCTCAGGGTTCCGTTCTATCCCCTACACTTTTTCTGCTGCATATCAATGACATGCTTCCACTTGGAAATATCCATTGCTATGCAGACGATAGCACAGTGCATGTGGGATATCACGGGGCTCCTACAGTCGGACGGGCGGAAATCCTGGAGAAAAGGGAGAATCTTGTCACGTTCTGGATCTCATATCGAAATGGGGTGCTGAAAATCTGGTTGAGTTCAATGCCAAGAAAACTCAGGTTTGCGTATTTACCGCCAAGACCCCTCCATTCCCTTCCCTTCCCTCTCTTCAGGGCACAACCTTGCCTCTACAGAGCAGCATCAACATGCTCGGGATGGAAGTGCGCTGTGATCTGAATCCCAAAAACCACATCGAGTCTGTTATTAAAATAGCATCTCGTAAACTCGGTGTCCTAAATAAGGTGCGGCGTTTTTTCACGCCCGAACAACTGTGCCTGCTATACAAAACGCAGGTCCGGTCATGCGTGGAGTATTGCTCGCACCTTTGGGATGGCTCCGCTAGGTACTTACTCGATGCTTTGGATAGATTGCAGCGCCGCGCAGTACGCATTATTGGCAATGGAGAAGTCACCAAGAACCTAGAAAGCCTGCAACTGCGCCGAGACGTTGCTTCGCTCAGCGTCTTCTACCGTCTCTACCATGGTGAATGCTCTGAAGAACTCTTTTCCCTTATCCCTCCATCTCCCTTCCTCCTCAGGACCACACGTGCTGGTTTGCGTTGCCACCAACTAACTGTGGCAGCGATTCCTTCGCGTACAAAGAAATTTGGCGACTCATTTCTTTGTCGTACTACCAAAAAATGGAATTGTCTCCCGGCCCATGTATTCCCTCCTTCCTATGACATGGGGTCCTTCAAGCGGGGCGTGAAGAAGCACCTTGCAGGTCGGCAAGGTGAGGTTAGCTAGTGCAGTACCTACATACTGTTTTCACTAGCTGTCCTCGCGTTTGGACTACGCCTCCGCTTACCATCAGGTGGAGCGCAGTCATTTGCCCTCCTTTATATATTAAAAAAAAAAAAAAAAAGTTACGCTGATGACATCATACTATTTGCAGAAACAGCAATATAATTGAAAAAAATGATCAACGAACTTAAACAGCTAGAAGTGACATCGGCTTAGAGTATAAATTTCCACTAAGACTGAAGTTATGACTAACCATCACGTAACTCCTATCAAAGTAAATAATAGTATAATAGAATATGTTGAGCAATATAACTAATATCATTATCACTGACAAGACACCAAAATAAAATAAACAGACGAATAAAAATCACATGGAATAAATTCTGGAGTATCAAAGAAATATATAAGTCAAATATTCCTATGAAACTAAAAAAATAGCTATTGGTGTCAAACATAATAATGATATAAGAAATAAAATACCGGTATGCCAAAGGTCACTAGAACGCAGTATGTAAAATATAAAAGTAAAAGACAAAATAAGGAATTATCGATGCATTGAAGCACTTGAAAAAACTTAAACAGAAATGGGCTGGTCACATAGCACGTATGAATAATCAAAAATGGACATATAAAATAATTACTTGGAAAGGACTTCTAAACAACCGAAAAAAAGGCAGACCTAATCAGAGATGGATTGACGAAATAATCGGCATAACCGGTAAAGACTGGATGGAGAATACGTGGAGGTCCAGGGTCGGATCGTGAATTTGCGGGGCCCTCGGCTAATACAAATCAAGAGCCTATTAACTAGTGAAGTGATTGTAATTTTGTTCAGAAACTGTTTTCAATAGTACTTAATGTAACACGTAGCCAAAGTATTGCAGCCATCAATGGGACAAAAATTGTCTTTTGTTAAGAATTCCCGTCACTTTATAGAGATCTTGCACTACAACAAGATGAAATTAATGATATAATGGTCAGTTTTGACATAGAATCTCTTTTGACTAATGTACCTCGCAAGTGCGCTGAAATATCTAAACTCATAATATATAAGGTACATGGTAGCAATCCCATTTTTAGCAATCTTTCTGAGGTATATTGTTTTTATAGGGGTTGAGGGCTCTTTGTATCCACGGGGCCCTTAGGTAGATCCATCCCTGCGGAGGATATACACTATAATATACGCATGTGATGTCGAGGAGAAACTACTAGTTTGATAGAAATTGATTCTTACATAAAATACTTACAAAATAAACATACCCGTCGAACATAGAAAATCTTCCTTTCAGATTTTGAATGAATGAAAAGTACACAAACTTTTGTTTTTCCCCACATATAAACATATCATCTAAATATTTAGGTGATATAATGATGAAAATTACTGATTTGATTTAGATAAAATTTAAATGGGACCGCCTCGGGCCAATAAGCTATCGAATAAAAAAGAATATTGAAAATCAGTCAACAATTCGTGGAAAAATCGGTGTACATATATATAAAAAACATATCATCTCTTGTCGATTTTGAAGTCTGTTAATGAAGGTTAATTGACTTGGCATAATAACACTTAGATAATGGCAATTGCACGGATCCCCCCCCCCCCTTACATCTGAGTAATTATTATTATTATGATTATTGTTTGTTATTATAAGGGGCTATGCAGTTCCTTGACGAATTGTAGTCACTGCGACCTTGAAGATCTATTGTGACTCGCCGCCAGAGCTATAGTAACTCCTTTAGCCCGGTAGACTTCAGAAGATTTTATATTTTCTGGGCTGTTTATATGTCGTCCCAGATGTACGCTTCGTTTGTGGATCAGGAGATGCATTCACACAGGAGATATTTTGGTGTTTAACGTTTCTGTTTGCAATATCTGCCAGTGTCAGTGTCACTTAGTTACATGTGAAATAAGTCTGTTTAGTTTGCTTTGTCCAGATAAGGTTCGTAGAATTGTACTTATATTTGCTCTGTTTAGCTCCAAGAGCTCTTCAGCTAGTTTTTGTGAATGGCCTTCAATTAAGGAGTTAGCGTGATTTAATCTCGGCTGTTTTTGCTAGCATTTTTTTTAAACCCTTTGCAGGTCATTCTTTAGGATTTGCATTACATGATTTTTCGGGGTACCACAAAAGGGCTCGGTCCTATTTGTAGTCCTAGTGCTCCAGCCCTTGCTAGTTCATCCGCTTTTTCTATCTGTTTCTGCTTTCATTGTTCTTAGTAGGTATAAACATATAGACAGAGATAATATTAGAGGACAGGGTGTTGAAAATAAATTTATAAAAATTAGAATCCTACAATATTTATCGGAAAACGACATTTCTTGTACATTCAATTTTTTTTTATAATTGAATTTATATTATATTTTTGCAAATTATAACGTGACTGTGAGTTCAGGGTTAGTGCCAGGTATAATTGTCGTTGAATTATTAATTAATTAAATTAATCAAAATTCTGAATTTTGAAAAAATTATAGGTATAGTAGAAAAGCAAAAACTTTACGAAAATAACCAAATTTCATTTTCAGAAAATAGAATAGGCCCTATTAGGAGTAAAATTAGATTTTATTGAAGTTACAATAATTTATTTATATTTAGAAAAATCTTTGTCCGATTAACTAAATGTAAGCAGTGTATCAAGACGTAATTTATAATTGATAAGATATCATAATATATGTACCTAATGAAGAGTCTTGAAAATTTGTTAAATACAAACGACTCAAGGGATAGTTGTTAGAGTTGTTATTATTGTACCATAACAACAACTCAATTTTGTGATATTTTTCCTAGATAGTAATTATTTACATAGATAAAAAGATCGTCCAATTTTATAAGTGCTGTTGTATGAAGTTCATAAAGGAAGTAATTCTGGCAAACACGGACGGTAAGTTAACATGGCATCCCAGAGCTGAGCCGAACGAGGTAACACCAATCTGTAATAAATAATCAATGTTAAGTTAAACAATGTAAATTCGAGCTTTATACATATACCGCCTGCGAATGTTCCCTGCATACAATATATAATTAATTCTCCTCTATTATGATTTATAAAGTAAGAGTAAGATTATTAGGTTACACAAGCTGAATTTACATCAAAAAACAAATGTCACGTAACTAAAATTTGAAACTACTTTCGTAATGGCAATGGTGCAATCAGTAGTTTCTCTGAGACACTGGCTCCATCAACATCGAAACTTGAGCTGATGGTGTCGCGACACTAGTTTCGCTATGTAAATCGAAGTGAATTTAGCTACGTGAAAATAGTTTCATTAATTAATACATTGCAATAGTGAACTACACGTGTAACTGCTGGCGAAATTAATGAAATGAATCTAGTTTTATGCGATTAATTTCATAATGTAAATCCAGATTTATTATAGCACGTGTAGAGTGAAGATATTTAGAAGATTTTTTATCGTTTTATAGTACATACATTTTCATGTGAATTTGTTTATTGGCAGTGCATAGCAGGGGTGCCACCGCTTAACGCTATCCATTATTATAGGATACGTCATCTCAGCGAATATTATGACGATAGCTCATTACATTTTACTACTTTGACGATATTTCATTTCATTTTACTATTATGTCTTCTGGTCGATAAATCTTATCTTATCTTTGAACTTTCGCAAAACAACGCCTGATTCTATCGAACGATTCTAAGGTACCTGTTAAATCTTTATAAATTGAGGAGGTAACGTACCAAAACGGTCCTGTCGTTTCTAGTGACGACTAAAGGACCACCGGAGTCACCGCGACAGGCACCTACACCACCGACGCCGCTGGTGCAGATGTTAGTTGGTTGTAAGATAATGGGGAACGCGAAACTGCATATTGAGTTGGTAATCACATTGAGTTTAACATGGCTCAGGTATTGAGTCTGCAGGATACCTCCAGCTAAAAATATTAATTATATTAATAAAATTATTTTTTATATATAGTAAATAATTGAAGATGACATATTAAAAATAATATTACAGGTATTGGTAAGTCCAAATCCAGAAGCAATAGCAGAAGAGCCGACGAAAGTTTCGTGTAACTCATCGCCTCGGGGAAGAGCCACGGGAGCGATCAGATCTGAAATCGGTGTAAAACCTGATATCATTATCCTTAAATAATGTTTGAACTCATTCGAACGAACACAATACGGATGATGACTGGGTAAAAAAAATGCAATTCTATTTAGTCCGTCAGTCAGATAATAGAAAAATATTAGATATGTATTTTTTTTTACTTCAATTTAATAAGAAATAGCTTAGATAACAGGCATTAAAGTTGAGGAGGAGTGGGGGCTCGCTACGTCACAATTGAGTAGAAAACGTACTCTAACGTGACGTCATGCGAAATATCAACTCAATGTAACGGCGTAATTTTATGATTACGAAAAAAATAAAAAAAATACGTGTTCAATATTTTTTAACACTCTATCTGACGGACAAACAAACAAAAATTAATTATCATCCCTATTTAAATATAGAGTTTGACTTATTATGAAGACTAATGTACTGCATTAAATTAAATTTAACCTTATAGACAAAAAAATTATCAAGAATAAAAATAAGCCTACCACGTTACTCCGTTAACTTCGAGTTGACTGAACTTGGATTGAAACAAAATGCACTAAACATTCAATATATTAAAGGTCAACTTGCTAGTTAGTATAAAATGACAAATATCTGCAATCAATGTAAATTCAATAACCGATATTTGACCTTTTATAGTAAACTGATATGTTGTTTCTGTATGTTTTTAATGCGTGTTTACTTACTCGATTGCACTACATTATTTGGCAAATATATCATGGCAATATCATTGCGTACTAGCAACGGCGTCCAATTTGTATGAGTTATTACGGCGCTTGTATCAATTCTGGTACCGCCAGTGAAGAGAGTGTTAGAGCCGAGGACGACAGTAACCATCCAGGCCTGGTGGGAGCCATCAAACCAACAGTGGGCGGCAGTTATAAGTCTATTGCCACTAACTAAAGAAGCACCGCAAACGCCTTGTCCATTGAAGCCGATAATCCTGATGAGAAGGCCAGCCTGTAATCAAACCAATAGATTTTTATTAAAAATGAGGATCATCTTCATGCTTATAACACTTTATAAAGGCTCTTATGTTTTATAATCTTTTGCGTTACAATGGTTTTTATCTATGTTAACGTTTAATTATCTTAATTGATGATAAGTAAGATGTGGCCTAAGAAGTAAAGTGATTTTTGAAGGTACCTATGAACCTTAGCTTTGAAGAAACTTAAGCTCTATTGATCGGAGAATATATGAAGCTGACAGTTTAATCTCTTCAAATCAAGCTTCTTAAGTACATACCTATCTTTAAACTAGGATTTAGATCTTTCTACGACTACATAATACAAATTATTTAATTTCGATAATATTTATTTCGGGTCTTTTGCATCCTCCAACTCCAATTAGGTTTTTTTAGAGTAGCTTTAATGGTGGGTGGGTATATTATATACAATTAAAAAATAAAGATATTATAATGATGTAAATGACTTGGGACATAACTAAATTCTAAGGCCTACTATGTTGCATACCTGATAGGGGACCTGTCCTATTCCAGCTGGCAAACCATTAACGATTCTTTGGCTAAGCAATTTTTCTTCTGCCTCACGACGCTTTTCGGATTCAGCCGCCGATCTCGCTAGGTAGCCGTAGGCGGTGGTGGTTGGCAACACACTCGCCTGAGCGGAAACCGCCACAACTAACAGCAGAACGAGCAGCTTCATTGCAACCTTTTTTCTTAACCAGCAAAGTGTTATGATATGACCCCACTTATTTATACTGCTGGAAGAGATAATATAAATGATATTGCTTCAAATCCTTTTGTATCTGTAATCTAATATTATTATCTGATCGATTAAAAAAGTATTTATCTTCATATTACTCATATGAAAAACAGAAGAAGAGTCAACTGTTTGTTGTTTTAAATACGGTTTTTGTTGATGTATTCAAATCTAAGTCTAAGTCTGTACTTAGAAGCTTCTCAAAGCTTCTATAAGTCAGATTTTTGTGGCTTTTGTGGTATCCCACTTTTCGTATTATCTTAAGCTTATCTATGGTCGATTTTGTAATAGTCATTTGTCGTTTAATCTTACGGCGTATCTAAATAACGGTACAGCTATCGGTCTGGTAAGATATTTTCAAGGTGGCTCTGAGGTCTTGGGTTAGATTCCCGTTGTGTGTCGAGTATGAGGATTGTGTAACCTTCATTGTTACAGATTTCCATCTAAGAAGCTGTTTAACTTCAGATTTGTGAAAGATAACGTCATCTTATATTTTTTATTTATTCGAAATTAAATAAAACCTATAAAATAACATACATAATATTTTTCTTTATCTTCGATCATTTGGGAGCAATTCTTTCAATAGATCCTTAACGCCCTGTACTAACGATGTGATCTGATATATAATATGTTAGATATGAGGAATATTTTCGTGAGCCCCTCAATGCTGAATTCATATTATACTCTGTGAAATCCTAAGGAATTGCGTGTGGAGTTAATTGCACCGATATCTTAATAAAATCGATTTCTCTACAATTAAGATTTAAAAACAAAAACCCAACATATAATTGTTATCGAGTCATTGGAAAATAAGATATAGACATATTCGATTGATAAATTAACTTAGATAACTAGGCTGTAGATAGATAATTAATGAACGAAATAAAAACTTTTTCAAACATGTTTACTGATATTACGAGTATAAAGATTTAATTGTTTGTTTGCATTGAATAGGCTCGATTTCTGGATCTATTTCAAAAATTTTACTAAAGTATTTAATTACTATTTTGTTCCTGTGATTTTGTTCGATAACTTTTTGCCATCTTGCAGGTAGGGACATGATTTTGGTACTTCTAATCAAAAAATCGCGACAAGTGGTTTTGGCAGTGCTCGCGTGATGTTAACCTGACATTGCCTAAATAATTCTGAAGAGACCGAAACAGGTAGAAATCTGAAGATGCAAGGACAGGACAGCCAAACTCTTTTAATTTTTTTGCTGAGTGGCAAAAGACGTGTGAGGTCTATAGCGTTAGCATGATGAAAAACCACCCATTCTATTGAATAATTCTGGCCGCTATCTCTCAACTTCTTGCTTTAATCTCATCAGCTGTTCGCAGAAGGGTTCAGCATCGATGGTCCTGCCGGCGGTAATAGCTCTTAATGAATAATGCCCTTCAAATCTCATCATACAGAAGGTACCTCCTTGTTGTCTGCGGCGGCGTGTTATGAACGGCGGCATCGGTCATCGGCGGGCGCGGCGCGTACGTCTAGTAGGTAGTATGTCGATAGGCCATAACTTTCGCCGACGATGTCGTGAGATAACTGCTAGTTTTAATATTTTTGAAAGTTTATGAAACACGTAACATTAACGCCAAGTAAATGGAAAATTCTAGAAACTGAACTGATTTCGTTTGATGTATAAACTTCGTATAATTACGCTGTACGCGGCAAATATAAAAAAGGCTTTATTACATCACAATCGATTTGAAGTTGATGTTAAGGAAGTTACGGATCTGCCCGATCACAGGCCGCGGTATTAATCTCTCTGCCATTTTCTCTGGTAACAACTCGTGATCTTTTTTTCCCGGTATTTTTTATTAATTTATTGTTTCACCAACAATGACTCTTTACATAGAACATTCTTTCCATGAATAATGCTAATTGTACAATTAATTAAAGGCGTTTCCAGTCGCAAACAATGACATGCACATTGGTGCCTCCAAACAACACTGCAATATTCTAAAGTACTGAGTGATGGATTGAGTAGGGATAAGATTTTATTGACTTTGCCATGCACTTTAACTGTCATAACTGCTATTATAAATTTATCTATTTCTACAGGCACTTTATCAACTGGACTGAAACATGCGCTGGTAATACCACTTCCAAAAATTGCTCAACCATTGAACTTAAGGTTCTTAGGCATAGGCCTAAGAACCTTAAGTTCAATGATACAGAACACTGATGGCAGTGTTCTGCATCAACAATTTTAGAGAGGGCGGTGTATACTCAACTGTACGGATATCTTGAACATAGTGGCGTTCTGCCCAGACTGTAATCAGGTTTCCGTCGCAACCGTGGTACATCCATCGTTTTACTTTATGTTGTAGATAATATTCTCTCTCAACAGGACACTGGTCGTGGCACCATTCTTGCACTACTCGATTATTTGCGCGCCTTTGATTGCATTAACCTTTGTCTTCTCTTAACTAAGCTCAAGTTACAATGGCTTAGTTGACCTTTCCGTTGAATGGTTTGAAAGTTACCTTCTTCCACGGTACCAATCGGTAAAGCTATACGGAGTCCTCGGAGATCACTCAATGGAGTGCGTTTGTGCACGCTAATCTTAGAAGTGGCTGAACCGATTTCAATGCAGTTTTCACTATTGTATTGTGGTAACCTTCCGTTAAAATTTTAGTTTAAGTTTTATTTTAATCGGTTCATAAATAAAAAGTTATATCAATTTGAAGTCTTCGCCTTATGGATGGTTAAGGAAGACGGGCCATGATCCTCCACGCTGACCCAATGCGGATTTAAAGGTATTTACGACTACAAATACAGCCGGGACCAACGGCTTAACGTGTCTTCCCAAGCACGGAGTAGCTCGAGATAATATTTTTTGTCACCCATCCCGCGACCGACCCTTGTGAAAGTTGCTTAACAGCAACGATCACGGGATACGGCGCTTATCTATTACGCCACCGAGCTACTTTATATAATAGTTAATAACTAAGTACCCACAAATGGTTAAAGTTGTTGCTTGCTGTTAACCAGTAGAATATGGGATTCTTATATTATTTTTTTTAATTTAGTAGTTGGTTAGAGTACCTATGTTTCCATAATCTTTGCGTTATCTTTAAAAAAGTATTGTACGGTTTTTTCACTTTCCAAACTAATTTTAACATTTTTCTTTGCTTACGTTCACTAGTCAAGTAATTGTAACAACTACAGAGGTTTTGATTATTTGATTGCTTAAATAAAGTTGATTATTGTAAATACTATTTTTATGTGTTATATATGTGTTTTATTTGCAAAATAATTAGCCTAAAGAACCGGCCAAGTGCGGTTCAACTCGTGCACGAAGGGTTCCGTACTGAAAACGAACAAAAAATCATGTTTGTTGTACGGAAGCCCTCTTGAATATTTATTTTATTCTGTTTTTTTTAGTATTTGATATAGCGGCAACAGAACTACATCATCTGTGAAAATCTCAACTGTCTAACTATCACGGTTCATGAGATACTGCCTGGTGACAGACAGACAGACAGCGAAGTCTTTGGAATAGGGTCGTCGGTTTACCCTTTGAGTACACCAGCCCTTTTACGTCCCCACTGCAGGGGCTCAGGCCTTCCTTATGGATGGTTAAGGAGGATGGGCCATGAACCTCCACGCTGGCCCAATGCGGATTGGAGGGTATTAACGACTGCAAATGCAGCCGGGACCAACGGCTTAACGTGCCTTCCGAAGCACGCAGTAGCTCGAGATAATAATTTTTTGGTCACCCATCCCGTGACCGACCCTTGCCAAAGTTGCTTAACGACAACGATCGCGGGCCGCGGCGCTTATCCACTACGCCACCGAGCTACCCTTTGAGTACGGAACCCTAAAAATTGAAGATGCTGCCAAAAGTCAATTAAAGACACCATTCTACGCGGACGAAGTCACGGGCACAGATAGTAACTTTAAAAAAGCCAAGCAACAGAACAGGACGTCAAATAATTACAAAAGTCAATATAATAAATGTTTAAAAAGGGTTGTAGGGCCCGATTTAGTTAATCAACCGATTAAGGATCTAATCAATCGGTTAGTGTATGATGAACACAAAAATATCTTTAACTCGTAGAGCGCTTCATCGTGCGAAATCATACAGCCAGTTGCACAAACGTCAATTAAAAGTTTCATTAGTTTAAAGCCACATTACCCATACAATAACATTCATTAGAGCTTAAAAGCGTCCTTAAACCTTAATGGACGTTTGTGCAACTGACCGTTAGTCTTGCAAATATTTTTATGAGGGCCCCCATAAAGTAATTTATTTTGAAACTCTATTACATTTATCGCTGTGTTATACTGATTATGAAATACAAAACAGTAAGTATTCTACACTAAGCTTACGTGACAGATTTTTTCCTGTTTTAAACAGTAAGATCACAAAGTGCCTTACTGCAATTTTAGTTAGTTAATATAATAAATACAATAACAGTTGATTATGCAGTAACAACTTACTTAACTGTATTTTCAATTGTTTAAAAAAAGATTTAGCAAAAAAAAAGAACTAGAAGCAGCAAGTTGGAATACTAAAATAATGATTATAATTCTTGTACCCCTTCAAGAATTATAATAATTTATTTTAGTATTCCAACTTTACTAACTTCTAAATTTGATCTTAAACAGTGGTTTGTTAAACGTAACATTTAAATTTCACGCGCGTTCTTCTCGGTTTCTTATTTTTCGGGACGGCAGAGTTGCATACTCCCAAAAATGATGGTTTGGTTGATTTTTATTTTTATTGGTAGGTATTTGTGGAAACTTATGTTGTACACATACGAGGGTCAAACTGAAAGTTCTTAGAACTGGCCACTTATAAACAATATAATAAAAAAATAATTCTAAAATTTGAAAATATAACTCTTTGCCAATATTACTGAGTATATATTTCATTCATTTGTCATTTGTTTTACGATTTGGCGGCAAATTGAAAATTGTCTGTGTCACGTCATCATGAATTTAACACGAGAAAATTTTTGTGCAATGATTTTTTATGACTTTCGATGTCATTTAAGTCAACAA